GTTAACAACCTAAGTTTGCAGACCAAAATTAGAGAAAAAGGAGGGCGGCAAGGAAAGCCAACATTTTGGCCCTAGCCTTCCAAGGTCAATTAACACTCAGGACATATGAGAACTTGTACTGTAATATCACATAACTCAGTAGTGTCCCAAATTTTCTGATCAAGGAGATTATGGAGCCAAAGAGGAAAGTGATCGATGATGTAGAGTGTGCCTAAGGAGAATCACATGGAGAGAAAACATTCTCTCAGGCTTTCACAGAAAGCACATTGGCCAATCAATGGCCGTGACTCATCCACATGGCTGATACTGACAAAGGATCTACAATCTGAGGTACAGGATCTCAGGATAAATCCTGAGGGGATTTCACTGACCTTGTTAGATACAAAAGTTACATTTCTTGTTGTATAGCTCTTGCTTTACCTTGGTCTTAACCATCCAGCAGAAAAGTATAAAAACAAAGAATAAGAAGTAAAGTCATGCTGTTATGTTGAGCTGTAGGGGACTCAGGTCAACAATTTCTGACATTGCCAGTGAAGCAGAAGACCCAATACTATTATGAACTACTGGACTCTTTTAGAATATTTTGCTGTGTTAACACACCTATGGTATTCAAATGACAGAACTAAACAAAAAAAGGGTATACAGATGAATGTCCATTGTGTATCTGTGTATTCAAAATGGTTAGAATAGCTATATAGTTACATTTTCTTAATGAATAGAGGGATTTGTTCTAATAGTGTTTGTAAATAGGATATCATGTCTGCATCTTGTCCAGCAATTAACCACTAGGAAGAATGTATGCAATGTGTTAATTATTGAAACTGTCCTACCAATTTGTTTTGAAACTGTCTCATTGCTATTTGTTTCTCAATAAAATTATGGGGGAAAAAAAGAAAAAAAAAAAAAAAAAAAAGAAAAGAACAGCCAAGTTCATCAGGAAAGCCAGCACGACAAGGTCCTCCAGGAAAATAGCCCAAGAGAACCAGCAGCTTCCAATAGCCCCAATAGCTGCTCCTAACAGTTTCTCCAGTTCTACCTCTTAGGTTGCTGGCAACAATTCTCAGGTGGGCCTCAGCACCACGCTAGTTGAGTTCAGCTGGGCATAACAAGTTGGCCGCCAGGTAGCAATCTACTACACTGACCTGATCCAATTATCAGGGATTTGGTGTAGCATTTGGGTCTACTTAAAGTAGGAAGAATTTTGATGTTGAGAAACAAAGCATTTCATCTTTTCAATATGTTTGAAAATTTTCATTATAAAATAGAGAATTAAATAAAGGAAAGAAATCTCTTTTTAAACTTTTACTCCCAGTGAGTTACTTATCATTATAAAAAAACACCCAGTGTATAATCTGTTAATTTTTAATCACTAAAATACAAGTGGAACCATCTTTTGAAATTCAACATTGTACACATAACAACTTATAGATAAGCAAGATTGGGTAAAGGAGATAAACAGACAGGAAGGAAGAGGGAGGGTATGGTTTTCCTGGCGAACACAGAACACAGTCCTCTAGAAGACAGATGAGGCAAGGAACAATGACAGCACCTCTGGATCCCAAAGGAAGAGAGAGGGAGGGGGGAGGGGGAGAGGAGGAAGTAGGGGGAAGGGGGAGAGGGGGAAGAGGGGAGAGGGGAGAGAGAGAGGGAGGGAGAGAGGTAAAGCTGGTGATGTGGCTGAAGCGAGCATCTCAGCTGAAGCTTCTTTCTTGCATTTTCTTTTGCGGAACTGGGAGGGCTTTCTCACCAAGCACTAGCCTCAACCCTTTCTGTTTCAAGACAGTGTCACAAATTCACACAGTTGCTCCAGTTAGGCTTGAGCTTTTGATCCTCCTGCCACAGCCTTTCACAGTGAACTTTCAGAGGTGGGATAAGGGTGGAGAATGAAGCAGAAATGGGGTCTGATGGTCAAAGGGCACCCCATGCGGAGGGAAAGGTACAGACAAAGCAGATCTATGCAGGGGTGCAGGGTCTAGGAGCGAATCTGAGGAAGTAGCCAGAGGCTACCTCAGGATGATCCTTGCCCAGAAGAAAGTCTTTCCCTAAAGTGACACCAAGCCATGCTTGGACTGTGCTTTGGAGGTGAATATGAAAGCTCCATGCTCCTTTTCCCCTCGACACTTCAGTAGCTTGGTAACCATTTGCCCAGGGATACCAGGGTGGGAGTTACAATTGTAGGAGGACCATAATTTAAAGGAATCACCAAGTCTGAGGATGGAGAATAGTGGGGAAATCAAGACTTGTGGTGTGGGGCTGACAGAACCGTGCCTGGGCTACTGGATCCCGAGTCCAGGCTGAACAGCACAGCTGCGCATTATTCGAAGGAGCTAACTAACACTTAGCCCTACACCTTGCCACAGGTGCTAATACAAAATGAGCAGGAGGCCCATAGCCATCCCCTCTGCTTAAAAAGATTAAGGCTACACAAGATTCTTCATTCCACGAACCACCTGATAACATTAATGAATATGCAACCGAAACTCCCTCGCAATTCCATCTCAACAGAACATTTTCCATTGTTTGCTGTACCTGTTCAATTCTATATGCATACAGTTTCCCATGACTTGTCACAGCATAAATACTATTTTTTTTTTTTTTTTTTTGGCAGAACCGGGGATTGAGCTCAGGCCCTTGCGCTTACCAGGCATAAATGCTATTTTAACATCATATACATTTCCTGTGTGGCTACATAGTTATCCTATTACAAAAATAACTGCATAATATACATTTTTCTTTTATTTTCAAGATACGGTCATCTCGTGTTGCCCAGGCTAATCTCAAATTCCTCAGCTCAAGGGATCCTCCTGCTTCGGTGAGCTGGGACTACAGGTAATTAATTGCCACTGTACCCAGACACAATGTACTGTATTCTAAATCACAAAACTACTCTGTGATGTGGACATTTAGGCTGCTTTCAATAGCTGTACCTTCTAAGGGAACTGATATGCCCTGCTGGAGTATTTCATCGAACTCTCTTTCAGATGAGAAGCAGATGCTTCTTTCCCTCATGTCCGGTGGTGTATGGGAGTATCCATGCCAGCGGGAGGCTGCTTTCAGGGTGCCAGTTGGGGGGATGACAAGGAGGGAGCCGGTTCTGCAGATCCAGCAGGTTTACAGGGAAAAGCTGCAGTAGCCCACCCGAGACTCTTATAATGACTTCAGTATCAGGGATTCTGATTCCTGTGTCTGGCAGAGTAACTGACCTTCTCCATGTGCCTGTCACCAAAGGATTTTCAGGCCCTTGAGACTTAAGGTCTAACAAAAGGAAAAATCCGCTTTGAAATAAAGCTGAGTCGGTCCACCTCGATGTGGAGATGAAGGAACTGAGAAGAGGATGAGTCATTTGGCTGTGTCATAAGACAGCAATTCCAAGAAGGCCTGTCCCAGCACTACAGTGAAAGCCTCCCGCTTTAAGCAGGAGTCCAAGTGCGTATTTATCTCAGGCTATTGCTCACAGAAGAAAACATTGGTTCATCTGCTTATTTGCTCAGTAAATATGTATGGAATACCGGGCACTGTTCCAGACCTAGACAGTCCGCGCTCTGGTGGTGCTGCTGTCACTGGGGTGTGTGTAGGGAGGAGTGTGCAACAAACAAAAAGAGGTAAAAAGCAAAACAAAAATGAAAAGAGGTAAAATAGATAGGGTGGAATAAACACTGCAGAGGAAGTTGGGTGTAAAGGGCCCCACTAGCTTGGTGGTCAGGGAGGGAGACCCTGATAGACCCGACCCTGGAGACAGGGAGGAGAGCAGTTTCATGTATTCGCTGGAAGCATTACAAGCAGGAGTCCGGTGTTGGAAGGCCCTGAGGAGATCAGCTGGCCCTGCTTGGAGCAGCTGATTCATGGAGCCTGTGACTGTGTCTCCCGATGGAATGGGACAATCCTGTGGCTTCACAACAACCCATGAAGCTCCACCATCCTCAAAAGTGAGGAGATGCGCAACCAAGGCTCGTGGGTCTTGTCCAAAGCCTTTATTGTATTTTAATACAGCGTCTAAAGGGTCTCATTACACAGATCAGACTTTTGGTGATCCTCCTGTTTTTAGCCTCCCAAGCGCTGGGATTATAGGAGCTCCACTAAGGCCAGTCTCAATTGTCATCCCAGCGTGCACTGGGGGTGGGGCCAGCACTACATGCTGGGGGTCAAACTTAGGTCCCTGCGTCTGCCAAAGCAGGCGCTTTAATCTGCTGAGCTATCTGGCCAGCCCTTTTATCTTTATTTTTTATTTTTTATTTTTTTATTAGTGTATGCTTGTGATACTTAATACGTCCCTTATGGGTAAGTGGTATAGACACATACTGCATCTGGATCCTTGTCACCTCCTGTCCTCTGCCCAGTTCCCAGATCCCTATTGCAACTGCAAAGCCTTGTCCCTCTTTCCTAGTCTCTTGATTCCCATCTTGCGCCTTGGACTGCACCACTGCCCAGCTTTGTGGTTTAAAGTATGGTTTTTCCATTCACATAAGCAAGGGCATTTATTTTAGACAGGAGAAAAAGTGGCCCTCAACTTGTTTGTGGACGGACACAGGGACCTAAACACTGGCCTGGGGAAGAGAGGAACTCTGCGACCCCAAAGCCCACGCCCGCCTAGCTCCGGACGTTTGCGAAAGACTTGCGTCCAGAACTTGGGACAAGGACGTGCTCGGCGGCCCGCAGAAACCGAAAATGAAACGGATAGTCCTCGAGGCGCCCAAAGCACCTTTCACCTGTCCGGAAACATACGCAAGTTCGTTCAGAACAGGGGCTACAAGTTCAGGAAACAAGTGGCTGTCGGTGTCCGGGGCAGAGACCCAGGAGGACGCCGCGCTAGGTGAGCCGCTAGGGGTAAGGGAGGCGGGGATCCGAGCGCGCGGCTCGGAGCGAACGCACCCGGCGCACGCGGGGCGGGGTGGGGGGAGCAGACCACACCCGCCGCGCGGGAGCCAACTTGCGGGAGGAAAATCCTATTGGTATCCCGGAGGCAGGGAGCCACCCCTGGGCGCGGCCTGCAGGGGGCAGGCGATCGGCTGGGAGCCGGGCTCAGGGCCAGGCGGAGCGGGGTCTTCGCAGCCGCCCGCAGCGCAGCCCGCGCCTCGCCGTGCGCGCCGACATGTGTGCCGCCCGGATGCCGCCGCTGGCCCTCGTCTTCCGAGGCACTTTCGTCCACTCCACCCGCACCGTCCCCATGGAGGTGCTGCGGGATCACCTCCTGGGCGTGAGCGACGGCGGCAGAGTGAGTGCGCGCGGGGACGGTGGGGCACCGGGCGGCGGGTCGCGTCCTCCCGGTACGAGCGAGCGCGCGGTGCCCGACGTGGACCGCAGCGCCCGGCTCCGCGGACGCGGGAGAGCCCTGCTGCAGATCCTGGGCCGGCCCGGGAGTTTCCAGGAAGAGCCCGGAGGGGAGGAGCCCTCGGCCGGTGGCCGGTCGCCCCGGGCTGGCCTTGTAGGCTGCAGGGTCGGGAGGAGGGCGGGGATGAGCTCCTTCTGAGGAGCCTGGCGGCGGACCAGAGCCCTGTTCATTCATCTTTACACCTCTACAGCGGCACAGAATGGGCGCGCAGTGAATGTGGTTGAATTTTTTGTGAAAGCACTGAGGAGGGGTCATGGGGTCAGTGTTGATCTGTCTGCTCGTTGTCTAGAATAAGCAAAGAACTGATTTCATTCACCTGGGCATTCAGCAAGGCGAGTATGCTAACTCCAAGGCTAAGTGACTAGTAACACCAGCCAGGAAACATATTCTCTCTCTCTCTCTCTCTCTCTCTCTCTCTCTCTCTCTCTC